CCACCCCCCACCCCCATAAGGCCTATACTTCTAGTGGTTGGCATTATTAAATCACCACCACGCAATCAATAAAATTTTACTTCTTTGTTTAGTAAGCCAAATGCATACCATGCTGGTAAATACAACAGTGTGTTATGGCCATCCTGAGTTCACTCTTAGTGGCTGGTAAATACAACGGCCATGCTGAGTCCACTCTTAGTGGCTGGTAAATACAACAGCCATGCTGAGTCCACTCTTAGTGGCTGGTAAATACAACGGCCATGCTGAGTCCACTCCTATTGGTTGGTATAACCCAACTTCTGGTAACTACTGTTGTCTTGTAGTGAATCATGTTCGACACCTCACTATGCATGGTCATTGAATCCCATTATTACAGCTTTACTTGGATCCTCCCACACCACCAGGGTTACACGTGTGACACTGGACCATCATTTAGAAACCATTTTACACAGAAATTACAGGAAGATTGAAAGTTAAAGTTCACATTTCTCCAGAATGTTACCTTGTATTTACTTTGTTCTTTGATTATTGTTTTTGCATTATTTGTTGAATATTGAAAATAATTAATTGAATTAAATATCTAAAATGACTAAAATAGTGTACATGTTTTCTTAATATTAATGTGGAATTGGATGTTTTGAAAACAAATCTATTACTTTTTTTCATTGATAGTTTGTAGTCAAATTGGTGTTGGATCTAACAAGTAGAGTTAAAACCTGAAAATAACTGCACTTTATATAACTGTAGTCATTTACATTCTGGATAGATTTTACATGAATGTTTATTTGGTTCCTTCTTATCCTCATCTGATCTAAGTTGCTATCTGTGTCACAATCTAGCTTAAACTACCTTCCAAGGAACTTTCAAATTTCTGATAAAATAAATTATCCAAGGAGATTAACAGTTACTTGTGTCTAAGTTCGATTATATTTTTTATATCCTTTTCATGAAATTCAGTTAATTGATAGAGTATAATAATCTTCCTCCAAGATTTTCCTTCCTTCTACTTGAGTTAACAAAAGTATATATTTATAGTTATTATTAAATGTACAGCAATATGTCTTTTTATCAAGTAACATTTACTGTAGAAGATTAAATCTCTTTACCCTTAGTGGTCATCCTTAGAGTGTTTAAATGTTTATCCTCTAGAGTGATCCTGTTTTCCCCAATTATATGTCTTTCTTTAATATTATATGTTTGTTTCTTTCATATTTAATATACTCTAAAACTATTTGTTTCATTATTATCAGGACTGAACTTTATTTCCCATCTTTTTATCATAATCTATAAGATATATAATCATTGATTTTCAATACTTTCCTGTATTTATCATAATTGTGAAGATTGAATTTCTCTTTGCTAACAAACAGGGTCAGGTATATATATCGTCCTGGTAGTGTGGTTTCTGTATATAACCTTAATACTAAGCTATATATTGTGTTCCTACTGCGTTCCCTAGTCTGACTTGTTCCGTTTCTGTCTGTAGCAATTATATAATTCTTGGACAGGAGAATGGGTGAGATTTACGTTTGAAAGTTTTGGACCTAATTTCTCAAACCTTCTTCAGGTATTGTTTGAAACCATCCAGTCAATTTTATATAATATATATCCAAAAAGTCTTGTCACGTTAGTAGACAACAGTCATATTTACTTATTTGATGACAGGAGTAGCGTCCCTTGTAACTGACTGGGGTCTGGGGTATTTCGGTCAATATCAAAACACTTACTAATTTCAAAATATTTTATGAAATAGAACTATTTCGAAAGAAATTAGAAAAATAACCTCCGTTTGAAAGAAAGCATTTGATTGGTTGATTCCAAATTTGTACATGAGGAAGTTGTTGAGATATGTAGCCCCTGCCAATACCCAAACCATTATGAAAGTGGCGTGAACGTACATGTGTAAAGTCTTATAGACATGAACTATAACCAGGCACACTGCTGTTTTTTTAGACTGATTCTGCACGAGGTAGAGTAATGGATGTAAGTGATGCAATTAACAAGGTTTTGTTAGAAAACATATCTTTTAATATAATATGTGACTGTGATTTCTTTTTGTATTATAACATTTGTATCTGTTATTGACCAATAGTTTGTACAAAGCAGCAGGTATTGGGGAAATGAAGGAGTGAAAAATCAGTTTTGACACAAAACCATTCTTGTCACAAACTTTGAGTGTTTGGACATGTCCAGTGGCCTTTTCGGTTACCTGGTGGCCGTGGGTTGTCCATGGTTTTGGGTCACACGTGCACTAGGTCCTTGTACATTGTGCTTACGGTATTTACATTTATTTGCTGCTTTGAATATTTCACCCAATATAATACCAAACTTAAATAACGGTGAAGATTATAGTGTTTCTGTTACCTTTCTTTGAAAATAATGTTTCTTTTTGGACAAAACTCATAGCCAATGGGTGTCCTTTTCACCAATAGGTATCCTTTTCCATCAATATCTAAATCAATACAGAAAAGAAGTTTTGGGAAATATACACAGTGTTGTCATTATTTAACAAACATTCCCTTTCATTTGTCAGTAATCAAAAAGATCTAGATTTGTTAATTCTAACATTTTAGTTGGAAGTGTCAAGTTATTAGTTAGAAGCACCTTTTTTCTATAAATCGGGAAAATACTGAGGAATTCTTGGAAAGGATACACTTTGGTGACACGGGTAACGGTACAACTCCTGTCAGATCACAATATCTCTATGACCTTTCAGTACAACTCATGTCTGATCACAATATCTCTAGGACCTTTCAGTACAACTCCTGTCAGCTCATAATATCTCTATGACCTTTCAGTACAACTACTGTCTGATCACAATATCTTTATGACCATTCAGTACAACTCCGGTCAGATCATAATATCTCTATGGCCTTTCAGTACAACTCCTGTCTAATCACAATATCTCTATGACCAATCAGTACAACTCCTGTCAGAACACAATATCTCTATGACCTTTCAGTACAACTACTGTCTGATCACAATATCTTTATGACCATTCAGTACAACTCCTGTCAGCTCATAATATCTCTATGACCTTTCAGTACAACTACTGTCTGATCACAATATCTATATGACCTTTCAGTACAACTCCAGTCAGATCACAATATCTCTATGACCTTTCAGTACAACTCCTGTCAGATCACAATATCTCTATGACCTTTCATTCCTCTTTGCTTGTTTTAGGCAGTTATACATAAGGGTGAAGATTCCACTTTTGACCAGTTGTTGGTATGAGTTCGTCTGTTTAGTTGTACTGGGAATGGCATTGAATATTACAGTTGACATGATGGGTTTAAGTTGACTTGCATGTTTGGATCTTGTTAGCAGTACTCAGATCACCATTACCTGATGCTAAAGCTTTCCAAGGTTTTGTTCCAGCATTGTATGTTGAATGTTAGTAACATCACATGGCCAGTGTACACATCTTATACTGTTACAGGGGAGACAAGCATGTATAGGTAATATCACAGGTACTAGTCTGTAATTAGGGGTGAACCGATGTGATGAGCTGATTCTTGAGTAGGACAGGTTTAATGCTAGATAAATATGTTTGAAATACAGAGAAAATTAATTCTGAGTACAGACTTCATAAACAACAGTGAAATGTTGTGTGCAGATTGCATTCAATTGGTAAAGCCAAGATATTTGAGAGGATATAGGCCTCTAGCAACTAAGATATTTGAGAGGATATAGGCCTCGAGCAACCAAGATGTTTGAGAGGATATAGGCCTCTAGCAACCAAGATGTTTGAGAAGATATAGGCCAAAGTCAAGTGTAATAATGAATGTATGCTTCAAGGTCAAGTGTAATGAATGTGTGCTTCAAGGTCAAATGTAATAAATATGTGCTTCAAGGTCAAGTCTAATTAATGTATGCTTCGTTCAAGGTCAAGATGAAATGAGGAAGGACATTATTTACAAAGATTTTGCAAGTAAAAAGTCCCATTATTTATATATAATTAGCCGAATATGTGTTTGTTTCTGTGTACACAGTATGTGATGGTGTTCCACTTGCCTGTGATGACATGGGTGTTGTGTCGTGTTTTGTTCTTGCCTTTTTGATGGATGAGGATTCGTACAAGTCTGTGTGTAATACTGTAAAGGATTGATAATGGGTTACATGTTTATTTTTGAGAATAGATTTATCATTGATAACAAGTTTACTTTGAGAAGGAAAAAATAACAGAATTTTTATGGACAGCATACAATTCATTGATATTCATATAAAATATACTTTATCGTCCTAAAAATAGCTCTTCTGAGCTAATGTTGTATGTTCAAAATAAAAATTCTTGGCTTGGCTCTTAAGGTCGTAAAATGGTTTCAGTTGTCAGGAGCTGTATTTATACAAACTCAAAAATTATGTATGCAACACAAAATCTTCAATCTACATGTACAGCAAACAGGAAATCTACATTGGTGAATTACTATTGTTTGTTACTTGACGATATTCAATGTCTTTCAGACTTGTGTGAGTTCTCTTTAATTGTTCTGCATGACTTTAAGTGGAATGTTGTGTGATATTCAATAAATGCACAAGTGTTTATTTTTTATTTTTGACACAATGTTTTTGTTTATGATGATTATTCATTATGTATAGTAGTTATGTGCATGTAAAGAAATTCAAAAGTAACGTTCATACAACCAGAGTATTGTTCCGGTGTTTCTAACCAATAGTTTGTAAATGGTTATCAATTTAAATGCTTGAAATTGAGTAACTTTACTGAAATATGCTTCATTATATTTGGCTGCAAAATTTACATATAAAAATGTTACAAAGTGTCTACTTCTTCCCTTGTTTGGCTCCTTAGAGAATACATGTTATTTAAAGGAAGACACTATTACTTTAAAATGTAGCATGAGAAAATGCAACAAGGATTTGCCAAACTTCTGAGAACCTTTCCATTGCTTTCCTATTACTCAGCAACAGACTGAAAGAAAAGTTAGCTGAGTGTTGATGGCGTTGGTGATAGGGAGCTTCGGTGAACGCCTGAGGTGCTTTTGTATGTTTTGTTATCCTCAAGAGATGTTCTTTGAAATTCTCTAAGCATTAAAGCATAAATATTGTTGTATAAGGGAGTTGTTAAAAGACAGTTTGGTTTCATTGTGTGAGCTGTGTTTCTATTATCAGTTTTTCTATTCTCCCTGTTCAGCTGGAGTTGTATCACAGGAGCAGCATGACCCCTTGCTTTCTTTGTCATTGCAGCTCAAACCCCTGGTTATCCCAGTTTTCAATATCCCTGTAGATGTACAATATTTAATGATAACTGATCTTTGTGTGTGACAGACTTTCCATTCTGTGATGTGATTCACGTGTAAACAACATGATTTATACTGTTTTTCTGGTAAACTTTTGCAGTATTTTGATAGATAGATTTTTTTCTAATGTACAGAATTTTGATTTTATGATAAATACTGCTATGTCAAGTAAGAATATAAAATGGGTGCTTGCTCTACCTATCTGTACATCTTATTAAATTTGGATATTCTAAATTTCAACTGAAATGGAAATGTTTTGTTTGATTTCATTTAATGAATATATTGTAAAATTGAAAAACACATCTATTGCTTTTGTTTTTGATATCTCAGGTCATTAATCAAGGTAACACTTTAATCTAAATGTGGACATGTTGCTTCCATTTAATAAACAGAATCCCATGAAAGCTATGAGTGCAAGACTCTGGGCCACCTTGACTGGGATGGTTAAGAAAATGTTTGCTCCCTTTGAGTTGGACAAAGAGGTGATGCCGACCATACCAAGGAGATTTACCCTACCCTACTCTAGGACCAAGGAATACCTGTAAGTATTATTACTTCTGGAATAGGGGATAGTTTATCACATGTGTCCAGTCATCGCGTCCAGTCATTTCGAAAGTGGGATGGTTCCTGTGGGTTTGTTGTCAATTTGATATTATAGTTCTATCCTGTATTAAAAAAGAAGACACCAAAATATGCTGAAAGATGATGTGAAATGGAAACATTTACATTATCCTGAACTTGTTCTTGATCACTTATACACTTACAGTAATAAAACATGTTTTTGTGAATTTCAGATATGATATCCCTGAAGACCGTGAATCTTTCTTCTCATTAGTGGCAAGAAGTCGCATTGTAAATTTCATTCTCAGAAGGAAGGCATTTTCAGATGACAAAAATCATGAGTACGCCTTTGGTGAGTGTTACCACTGTCTACCTACATATATCTATTGTCTCCTCCAACAGAAATCTTATGTGGCTTTTTTGTCATTTGGCACTTTGCAATACTAACGTTGTTTCTTAATTTATTTTGCATCATAATTGAAATTTGAAAATTTAAATTCAAATTTGACTTCTAATTAAATAATTAGGTCCCCAGGATTTCTTAAAACTGTATTTTAAAGTAGCATGTTATATTGGATCTCGTGTTGATTTGTAATAGATATGACTTTGTTTTTACAGGTATCAACAAAATGATTGCAGACGAATACTACACTGCTGCTTACCCCCTACACGAGGTAATTAATCTCTGCGGTCTAAAATCTTATCAGCTGCCTCAAATTTCTGCTGATCTGTAATTCTGTAGCCTAAAATGTTGCTGGAAAGTGGATATATTTTTATACTTTCACCATTCACTATACTATCTATTATGGTTGAGAACATGAACATTAATAATAATAATAATAATAATAATTCGAGGTTCGTATATACCGCTTTATCACAATCTAGTTCGTAGGTTGTCTCAAAGCGGTTCACAAATGATTATCTGTGGTTATAGGGCCTTTACAACTAACTAGCCAATATCGTTCCCAACTCCCTGGGGAGCATACAGCCGATGCTGCCATTTCGGCGCTCACAGCTAGCATTCAACAATTATAGCACTGCTCAACCACGTACTCATTTACAACTGAGTAGACTGGAACAAGCGGAGTTAAGTATCTTGCTCAAGGATACAACACAGTGCCATGACATGCTCGAACCCACAACCCTTCGGTCACGAGCCCGGCGTCCTACCACTAGACTACTGCACCTCCTTTGATTATAGACTTTATATGTCTTTGTTAGTTGGGATAATGTTTTGCCCATTCCGTAATCATTCAGGATTATCAGGGATAGAAAGTACACAAACATTTATGTTTCTGATAGTTACTCTTCTTAGTCACAGTGTTGTGTATCAGTGTGTAAAATACACACTTTTTATAAAGACTGTTGTAACTTATGTGTAACTGTTACAACAGGGCCATTGGAAGGAAGGATCTGCTGAGAACGAGAGAAAGCGACTGTATGACCACTGGGCTAACCTACGCTGCTTCTTTAAGTTCCAGCCACTGGATCATGTCAGGTCTGTTGTGACATTGTTGTAATAACTGATTATAAATATATCATACAAACAAGAAATTACTGAGGAAAACGTAACGTACTCTATGATGTTGTTGTAATTGATATTACGTAGAAAACTTTTGAAGAAGTGTATCTGAGTTTTTATTAACTCAAAAGCTGTTCAGTAGTTGATGTGGTGTGTTTCAGGAGTTACTTTGGTGAAAAGATTGGTATCTACTTTACGTGGCTGGGTTTCTACACCCAGATGTTGATCCCTGCCTCCATTGTAGGACTTGTTGTGTTTATCTACGGCTGTGCTATCTCTGGCTCCAGCTACCCAGCGTAAGTAACATAGGTCAATCCAAGGTTACAGGTCAACCCAAATATACGACCTACCTACAAAGGTCAATCAAAGGTTACAGGTCAACCCAAATATACGACCTACCTACAAAGGTTAATCCAAGGTTACAGGTCAACCCAAATATACAACCTACCTACAAAGTCAACCGTAAAGTTACTAGTCAACCTAAATATATGACTTACCTTCAAAGGTCAGCCCAAAGGTTACAGGTCAACCCATATATATGACTTACCTACAAAGTCAACCCAAAAGTTACTAGTCAACCTAAATATATGACTTACCTACAAAGGTCAGGCCAAAGGTTACAGGTCAACCCAAATATATGACTTACCTACAAAGGTCAGCCCAAAGGTTACAGGTCAATCCAAATATACGACCTACCTACAAAGGTTACAAGTCAACCCAAATATATGACCTACTTACGAAGGTCAATTCAAGGTTACTGAATTTTTCATTTCTACATTGGGAATCAAACTCTAGCTGTCTTGGTAAAAGGCAAGAGCGCTATCAACTGTGCCACCTGGCCACCCATACATAAGTCTACTCAAGGTTATATTCCATGAAAACACTGTTAACTTGTAAAGCTTTTTATTGTATATCCATTAAATAGCACTGGTTCATTGATACAGTGACAGTTATGTAGATGTAAGGATTATAGATAACTGTGGAGCATGTTAGTGTTACGTTAAAATGGTTCCTGTAATTGTTGAGTTTGTTTTTATAATTTCAGGGTTGAGATTTGTAACCCAAAGAATAACTTCACCATGTGTCCATTGTGCGACTATCAGTGCCCCTACTGGAGTCTCCATGACACTTGCTCCAATGCCAAAGCCAGTCGCATCTTTGATAACGGGGGAACAGTTTTCTTTGCTATATTCATGGCATTTTGGGGTAAGTGAAGTATCATAAAATTTGTACTGCCCTCATATGTTGAAGTCTTCTTTCTTCGTCATACTTCCTTTTTCGAGGGCTCTCTAGAAAAATGGGTAAGAGCCACACGACACCCAAGTCCTGAACCCGACTAAAGCAATAGTACATATGTTATTGTTTTACTCCCGAGTCCTTAACCCGACTAAAGCAATAGTCCATATGTTATTGTTTTACTCCTGAGTCCTGAACCAGACTAAAGCAATAGTACATATGTTATTGTTTTACTCCTGAGTCCTTAACCCGACTAAAGCAATAGTACATATGTTATTGTTTTACTTCATGGTAATAAAATATTTGTTGCCCTTATGGTAGAGGGACCTGATTCTTTGTTCCTCTACAACAAAGGTATACTGTATAGAAATACTGCTTTGTGCTGTGTTACCAGGAACAGGTTTTAGCAGACTTACTTAGGATTCAGCATAGCTTAAGCTGTCAGTTTCCACTTTCATGTGAAAAAGATTTTGTTGAATGATTGTTATTTTTTCATTTTTTTTCAATATTTAAAGTTTATATTATGAGCTGATAATTTGCTGCGTTTCTTTTAGGCACATTGTTTCTGGAGTTCTGGAAAAGAAAAGAAGCCACAATGCAATATAGATGGGATCTTACAGACTTTCACCATGAAGAAGTGAGCTACAGACATTTTTTGAAATCTTTTCTGGTTTTCTATACCATAGAAATTTGCCAAGACTATGCAAATTCAGTTTTGATGGTAACAACAGTGTTGTGAAATTTTCTACATGAAGACTTATATATTTGAAAGTAGGAAACTAAAAACTGTTACTCCAAGAACTTGCCTTCATTATCTAAACACTGAAATTATAACTTGGTTAGAGACACTATCTTACTACGTAACTCAAGATGACATTACGTGTCCTTTCATTTTTCAGCAACCACCTCGACCAGAATATCTTGCCAAGCTGTCAAACTGTGATACATACAAGATCCATCCAGTAACAGGGGTAAGGTCACTCAGAGGTCACTCAGAGGTCACAGGTCATTATGTTAGTGCACTTGAAAGCATTTGGCTGGATACTGACCAGATGTTTACTAAGGATGGCCATAGATTACAAAACTGGGGTTTTCCTTGGATCACAGGATTATGGTAACTTTTTTTTGTGGTAGTTTTCCTGACTCTATCTGACCAGTAAGCAAGTTAGTTTAATCATGCGAACATCAAGGCTATTTTCTAAAACATCATTATACTTATTGATTCTGTGTTCTGATGGTAGCCATGTTCATTGGAATTAAATACATGTCATCATCAATCAGTTTTATTTAAGAGTGCTTTAATCTGCTATAAATGGTTATTTTAGGACAGAGAAACCGATATAATTGTCCCGTTTGTTTATGTTTGCTCTAAGATTGATTCTTTTCCTCCACAGATGAAGGAACCGTACATGCCATTTTGGACCAAACGATTCCCTGTCTTTCTGGCTTCCTACTCTGTTATGCTGTTCATGGTATGTCTGGATGTGGACAAACTTGCCAGAAGTGTAAAACAATAAATCAGTACTTGATATTAAACTGTCATTAATGAGAAGAAAAGTACAATATACTATTTATTAACTATTGTTAGCTTCTTGTTGTCAACTTATATTCTGTGCAGTGATTTTCATGTACAGATGTTGTGTCAGAGGAGCAGTTGATTCAAGCAACATTATTATAAACATCATGTTAAATAAATTTAGCGAAGACTATCTTGGATGTAAATAATGATGTTAATGAAATAGTAGACTTTGTGTGATCAATTGTTGGGTATTATTTCATGAAAAGTAACTTTTGAATGTTTTCGTTGTCAACACTCTACTGTGTAGTATATACTCTCAAGGGATTGTAGGCTATCTACGTTTAACCGATATATTTACAGGGGCTGCTGGCTATCAGTGCAGTGATAGGCGTGATAGCATACCGTGTGGCCTTGTTAGCCGCGCTCCAGGCCTTCACCAGAGATGAAAGTAAGACTGCGGACAACTCTACACTGGCCACCACTAAAGCTCTGATTTACCAGAACGCTAGTGTGCTCACCACTGTCACAGCTGCTTGTCTCAACCTGCTGTTCATCATCATATTGAACATGGTAAGTGGTTCATGTTAAACATGGTAAGTGGTTCATGTTAGACATGGTAAGTGGGTCATGTTATACATGGTAAATGGTTCATGTAAGACATGGTAAGTGGTTCATGTTATACATGGTAAGTGGTTCATGTTAAACATGGTAAGTGGTTCATATTGAACATGGTAAGTGGTTCATGTTATACATGGTAAATGGTTCATATTATACATGGTAAATGGTTCATGTTAAACATGGTAAGTGGTTCATATTGAACATGGTAAGTGGTTCATGTTATACATGGTAAATGGTTCATGTTAGACATGATAAGTGGTTCATGTTATACATGGTAAATGGTTCATGTTATACATGATAAGTGGTTCATGTTAAACATGGTAAGTGGTTCATGTTAGACATGGTAAGTGGTTCATGTTATACATGGTAAGTGGTTCATGTTATACATGGTAAATGGTTCATGTTATACATGGTAAATGGTTCATGTTAAACATGGTAAGTGGTTCATGTTAGACATGGTAAGTGGTTCATGTTAAACATGGTAAGTGGTTCATGTTATAAATGGTAAATTGTTCATGTTATACATGGTAAGTGGTTCATATTAAACATGGTAAGTGGTTCATATTAAACATGGTAAGTTGTTCATAATCAAATGGTAACAGATCTTACAAAATATGTTAAAGGGGTTCTTAATTACTGCATATGGTGACAATCTTTTAAACTAAATCGTCTTCAGATCTACACCCGAGTAGCGTTCTGGCTGACGGACCAGGAGACTATCCGTACACAGAAGGACTATGATGACAGTATCACCATCAAGCTGTTTGCCCTCCAGTTTGTCAACTACTACTCCTCCATTGTTTACATTGCCTTCTTCAAGGGGAGGTAAGTTTCCTTATATCCATACCTTAACACATACAGGCATTCTTTGATTGGTCAATGTTACCTTTTTCCCTGGTAATTACAGAACAATAAATATTTTTTGTGGCAACTAAATATTTTTTATGTAAATGATTTGTCTGAATTTGTTGTAACCATGCATGTTATGTTGTGAACATTGGAAAAAAAATACAGGTCATTGTCTATGTCTGATTTAGAACTTGACCCTAAACTTTGATAATCCAGAATCCTAGGCAGGCCTGGAGCTTACAACCATCTGTTTGGCGGTCGTCAGGAGGAGGTAGGTCTGATCATTGAGTTTTATGTAACCATATCTTTATCATTGATTTAAAAAAAAGTTTCTTTGCTTTATCTCACTTGGTACAAAGTACTAATTTAATGCTATGTTATGGTGCTTGGTCTCTTGTCTTCATTGATTGTGGTCCATCAATATTTGCATTAAACGATAACTCCCCCAAAAGTGCTGAGCACATTCCAACTGTTAGCCTACAGAGATCAGAAATACAAATAATTAAGGGGCTAAGGGCCTGGTTATATTGGCTATTTGTTTCAATCAATGAGGTGCTTGTAGAGTAACTTGTCTTTTATCTACTCCTTACTTTGTATAGCTGTTGTTCTACTCCTTACTTTGTATAGCTGTTGTTCTATTCCTTACTTTGTATAGCTGTTGTTTAGTCCTCTGCTGAAAAATTAAACAAGTGACAGTTTTGGCCTGTCATATGAAGCTTCCCTAATTATGACTTCCAGTACAGGTAGAATAGCTGATCCCTAATTAAGGTTTTCTACATGTATAGTTTTGCGTGATTATCAGATACGGTGTGTTGTAGTGTGGGTCTGGAGGCTGCCTCATAGAGCTGTGTATACAACTGGCCATCATTATGACCGGTAAACAACTCATCATGAACAACTGTACGGAGGTTCTTCTACCGTAAGTAAAACCTTCCTTTACTAGGATCTAGTCACATAGACATTAAAGTTATAACATCACCACTGGTGTGGTATCAACTCATTGACAGTTTATTGATAACATCATCACTGGTGTGGTATCAACTCATTGACAGTGTACTGATAACATTGACACTGGTGTGGTATCAACTCATTGACAGTGTATTGATAACATTGACACTGGTGTGGTATCAACTCATTGACATTGTATTTATAACATTGACACTGGTGTGGTATCAACTCATTGCCAGTGTATTTATAACATCACCACTGGTGTGGTATCAACCTATTGACAGTGTATTGATAACATCACCACTGGTGTGGTATCAACATATTGACAGTGTATTGATAACATTGACACTGATGTGGTATCAACTCATTGACAGTGTATTTATAACATCACCACTGGTGTGGTATCAACTCATTTACAGTGTATTGATAACATTGACACTGGTGTGGTATCAACTCATTGACAGTGTATTGATAACATCACCACTGGTGTGGTATCAACTCATTGACAGTGTATTGATAACATTGACACTGGTGTGGTATCAACTCATTGACAGTGTATTGATAACATTGACACTGGTGTGGTATCAACTCATTGACAGTGTATTGATAACATTGACACTGGTGTGGTATCAACTCATTGACAGTGTATTGATAACATTGACACTGGTGTGGTATCAACTCATTGACAGTGTATTGATAACATTGACACTGGTGTGGTATCAACTCATTGACAGTGTATTGATAACATTGACACTGGTGTGGTATCAACTCATTGACAGTGTATTGATAACATTGACACTGGTGTGGTATCAACTCATTGACAGTGTATTGATAACATTGACACTGGTGTGGTATCAACTCATTGACAGTGTATTGATAACATTGACACTGGTGTGGTATCAACTCATTGACAGTGTATTGATAACATTGACACTGGTGTGGTATCAACTCATTGACAGTGTATTGATAACATTGACACTGGTGTGGTATCAACTCATTGACAGTGTATTGATAACATTGACACTGGTGTGGTATCAACTCATTGACAGTGTATTGATAACATTGACACTGGTGTGGTATCAACTCATTGACAGTGTATTGATAACATCACCACTGGTGTGGTATCAACTCATTGACAGTGTATTGATAACATTGACACTGGTGTGGTATCAACTCATTGACAGTGTATTTATAACATCACCACTGATGTGGTATCAACTCATTGAGTGTATTGATAACATTGACACTGATGTTGTAACATTGACACTGAATTCCTCTTCTAACAAAACTGAATAATAACTGAGGTTTTTATATTACATACAACTAATTTACTGTAATACATTTAACTAACTTTAACTGTCTTAAAATTATTGTTTTAAGGAAAGTAATAAAATGGATAAAGAGGATGATTTGGAAAGAAAGCAAAGAGAAGAAAATGTTGAAGACCCCTTGGGAGAAGGACTACAAACTGGATGCCACATCCACTGCGGCGCTGTTTCACGAGTACCTGGAAATGGGTAGGTGTAGTGAACATACAGGAAGTCTCTCACGTAATCATCATAGTGCTATGGTAAAATTGATTTATTAAGTTTTTCACATTCTGCCATTCTTTTTAACAAATTATGGTATGTTATGTCATTGTGTTTTGTATTGAGTGACACATTGTCATCTTAGGATAAAAAAAGGACAACTTGATGACTTTTTCTCCATTATCTCATTTTCTTTACATCACATGAAGTTAATTTTAACCTGTTGATATCCTTCCTGTGTGATATTGTAGTGGCTTGGTCTGCCCTAGTGGCACTACTGTAGAAGCGGCCTGGTATTACCCTTCATTGAGTTACCTGTATAACAATAAGGTTAACATCCAAGCTGTATGTTTATGTTTACTTACAGTACTACAGTTTGGGTTTTTGACGTTGTTTGTCGCGGCCTTCCCTCTTGGGCCTCTCTTTGCTCTCCTCAACAACATGCTGGAGATCCGTTTTGATGCTGCAAAATTCATCACCCAACTCCGTCGTCCCCTGGCAGAGAGGTCTCCGAACATTGGTATGAATAGATATACTTACCAACAATCAGAATGGTCAATGATTTTGTTGTACAATGATGATTTTGTTGTAAGAAGAAAACTGTTTGTATGCATAGTACTTTTGTGAATTGTTCTATTTTGCATTTAACTTCTATCAGAAATTGAAAATCCTAGATATATAATTTACTTACCAATCCGAAAGGGACAATGTGTAGGTTTTGAATGTAATAATTATCCAGTTTGAAGAGATATTTCTAGCAGCCTGTCCTCACCAGTCTGAGTTAATCATCACATGGAAACACTAATTACCACAATAACTTCTGTGTTACAGGTGTATGGTACAATATTCTCTACGGAATTTCTAGGATTGCGATCATTTCAAATGTAAGTACTTCATGTTGAAACTCATAACTATCATCAGTTGATAATAAAATCTAAAATGTCCTGATTTTACTTGATATTGAAATTTGACATCACTGTGGAAGGTGAGTTGGACTGATCAGCCCAGCAAATGGTTTCAAATAAAGATGATAGTATTGTAAGTGAATGACTTAGAGTGCTGACATTGTACCAAACTAATATGTATCTGAAATAGATATGGACTTAATTAAATATATGTAAATCATTTAATTCTCAGAAACACTTATTTTGCAGCAAATGGCAATTTTTAAAATTTATTGATCAGTCTGAAATTTAAATATCCATTTAATATACCTGAACTTTGTTGTAACCCAAGAGTTTAAAAAAATAATTCAATTATTAAATTAAGGCACTTAAAAAAATTGTTTAGTTTTTTATAGATCAATGTTTGAGGCTTTGTTATGTTTGTATTTTAGGCCTTTATCATTGCATTGACATCCGACTTCATTCCCCGTCTGGTGTACGAGCAAGCTTACAGTCCAGATGGCTCCCTGAGGGGCTACACGAACGCCACTCTGTCCTTCTTCAACACCACCGACTTCAGCCCAGAAAACCGACCCAGCTATGCTGGTAGTGAGCTAGTAGAGTTCTGCAGGTAGGTCTCTTACCCAGTACAGGTAGGTCTCTTACCCAGTACAGGTAGGTCTCTTACCCATACAGGTGGGTCTCTTACCCAGTACAGGTAGGTCTCTTACCCAGTACATGTAGGTCTCTTACCCAGTACAGGTAGGTCTCTTACCCAGTACAGGTAGGTCTCTTACCCAGTATAGGGAGGTCTCTCTTACCCAGTACAGGTAGGTCTCTTACCCAGTACAGGAAGGTCTCTCTACCCAGTACATGTAGGTCTCTTACCCTGTACAGGTAGGTCTCTTACCCAGTACATGGAGGTCTCTTACCCAGTACAGGTAGGTCTCTTACCCATACAGGAAGGTCTCTTACCCAGTACAGGAAGGTCTCTCTACCCAGTACATGTAGGTCGCTTACCCAGTACAGGTAGGTCTCTTACCCATACAGGTAGGTCTCTTGCCCAGTACAGGAAGGTCTCTCTACCCAGTACATGAAGGTCTCTTACCCAGTACAGGGAGGGCTCTTACCCAGTACAGGTAGGTCTCTTACCCATACAGGAAGGTCTCTTACCCAGTACAGGAAGGTCTCTCTACCCAGTACATGTAGGTCGCTTACCCAGTACAGGTAGGTCTCTTACCCCGTACATGTAGGTCTCTTACCCAGTAAATGTAGGTCTCTTACCCAGTACAGGTAGGGCTCTCTTACCCAGTACAGGTAGGTCTCTTGCCCAGTACAGGTAGGTCTCTCTTACCCAGTACAGGGAGGTCTCTTACCCAGTACAGGTAGGTCTCTTACCCCGTACATGTAGGTCTCTTACCCAGTAAATGTAGGTCTCTTACCCAGTACAGGTAGGGCTCTCTTACCCAGTACAGGTAGGTCTCTTCCCCGTACAGGTAGGTCTCTTACCCAGTACAGGGAGGGCTCTTACCCAGTACAGGTAGGTCTCTTACCCATACAGGTAGGTCTCTTACCCAGTACAGGAAGGTCTCTCTACCCAGTACATGTAGGTCTCTTACCCAGTACAGGTAGGTCTCTTACCCAGTACATGTAGGTCTCTTACCCAGTACAGGTAGGTCTCTTACCCAGTACAGGTAGGTCTCTTACCCAGTACAGGTAGGTCTCTTACCCAGTACAGGTAGGTCTCTTACCCAGTACAGGTAGGTCTCTTACCCAGTACAGGTAGGTCTCTTACCCAGTACAGGTAGGTCTCTTACCCAGTACAGGTAGGTCTCTTACCCAGTACAGGTAGGTCTCTTACCCAGTACAGGTAGGTCTCTTACCCAGTACAGGTAGGTCTCTTACCCAGTACAGGTAGGTCTCTTACCCAGTACAGGTAGGTCTCTTACCCAGTACAGGTAGGTCTCTTACCCAGTACAGGTAGGTCTCTTACCCAGTACAGGTAGGTCTCTTACCCAGTACAGGTAGGTCTCTTACCCAGTACAGGTAGGTCTCTTACCCAGTACAGGTAGGTCTCTTACCCAGTACAGTGTTTATGTTGCTAATTTTCACAGCAGAAATTAATTTAGAAAATACATAGAAATGCAATATTTTTTGCAAGTTAATTTCCATGTAACAGTTTAGTATTTCAAGTATTTGCAATTACTAAGGGATGAAACACACCAGTGAAACATGGGATGCAGCATTAATAACACATTGTTTGGAAAACCTTTTATCACTGAGAAAGCCTTAAAATGTCCATGAATTTTATAGTAAAATTTCTGTAGGAACCCTGGGTAATATTTTGTTTTAGAAGTGTCCTCAGAATGACTGATTTAGATATTGACACTTTTTATAATCTTTTGACACGGGTGTATTACTGGAAGCAATGTTATATTTTACTTTAAAGGTAATGTTTTCAAAAGTGCAGTATGTGTTTAGAATGGTATTTGTTTTTAGTAGAACATGACAAGGGATTTATAAAGTAACCTTCATGGTGTTGTAGCTGTTAATTCAACCAGAAAGAAATCTACTTTCAATATATTATCATTGCTTAGTGTAGTGTAAATGTTATTTCCTTTATAAACAAAACTCCATTTCTGTTGACTCCTGTAGGTACCGGGACCTGAGGAGCCCTCCTTGGAGTGATGACAAGTACAACTTTACCGAGATGTACTGGCACATTTTTGCTGCCAGGTTTGTGTTTGTGGTTATATTTGAGGTAAGTACTTGTGGTGTTAGTCAGTATTGAATGTCCCAGATCACTTCCAGACACTTCAGGTTACTATTGAAACATAGTTTTGACGTCGTGACATAACCAAATCACATTAGTCAACTGTGACTCTTCCTTTGTACAGAACGACCTATTTGTTGACTATGAAATGCAACACTTTTTGTTAGGGATAATATAAGTAGAGGTTAACACTGGTAAACATGTGTACAAGTAAAAGTGACCGCAGTCACCAGTGTGACCAGTAAAATCTGACAGTGTATACTGTAGCTGATGCTGCACTACTTAGTTGAGGTCTGATGATTCCAGTAATGTGTGTTTATTATGTTACAAAATCTGATAGTTGTGATCACAGGTCTGATGATTCCAGTAATGTGTGTTTATTATGTTACAGAATCTGATAGTTGTGATCACAGGTCTGATGATTCCAGTAATGTGTGTTTATTATGTTACAGAATCTGATAGTTGTGATCACAGGTCTGATGATTCCAGTAATGTGTGTTTATTATGTTACAGAATCTGATAGTTGTGATCACAGGTCTGATGATTCCAGTAATGTGTGTTTATTATGTTACAGAATCTGATAGTTGTGATCACAGGTCTGATGATTCCAGTAATGTGTGTTTATTATGTTACAGAATCTGATAGTTGTGATCACAGGTCTGATGATTCCAGTAATGTGTGTTTATTATGTTACAGAATCTGATAGTTGTGATCACAGGTCTGATGATTCCAGTAATGTGTGTTTATTATGTTACAGAATCTGATAGTTGTGATCACAGGTCTGATGATTCCAGTAATGTGTGTTTATTATGTTACAGAATCTGATAGTTGTGATCACAGGTCTGATGATTCCAGTAATGTGTGTTTATTATGTTACAGAATCTGATAGTTGTGATCACAGGTCTGATGATTCCAGTAATGTGTGTTTATTATGTTACAGAATCTGATAGTTGTGATCACAGGTCTGATGATTCCAGTAATGTGTGTTTATTATGTTACAGAATCTGATAGTTGTGATCACAGGTCTGATGATTCCAGTAATGTGTGTTTATTATGTTACAGAATCTGATAGTTGTGATCACAGGTCTGATGATTCCAGTAATGTGTGTTTATTATGTTACAGAATCTGATAGTTGTGATCACAGGTCTGATAGCCTATGTCATTCCTGATGTGCCTCACTCACTCAAGGTGCAAATTCGTCGAGAGAACTACATTGCCAATGAAATAGTCATCAAGACTGAATTGCTTCGTGCACATGGAGAGGATGTGGATGATATAATGGGCACTATCATGGATGATGAAGTTCGACGTTACCATACCACTGACCTTGGAAGTATGACCTTAGTGAATCGAAAGCCAAATGAAGGCCCATCCACGGAGGTGTAGCCAAAGTTGACCATGTGACACCTCATTGACATTAATTTGATAATATTACGTTTGAGGCAGTTTTAAAATACTCAAATACCTGGTTCAATTTGTAGAGTGAGAAACTTTGTCATAGGGAATGGTATTGAAACATCTACAAATTAAGCCAAAAAAGTCGAGAATAAATGGGTAATTATAGCGATGTGAAGGATTTACATCAGCAATAAGTTGCTGGAGGGGTACAGAAACATTGCCAAAGTATTGAGCTGTTACATGTGTGTCCCTGGAAAGTCTCTACTTCCAGTACCATGGGACGTTTGATGATTATCCTGCCTAGGGTTGTGTATGATTAATCCCTCCATACTCCATTTGCCTTCTGTGTAGCACTTTCATTGTCACACAATGTCTTTCTTATATTGTATCTGAATCTATTTTTTAACAGAAGTATTCATATTGTGTATATACATTTGTATATCCATCTTAAATAATTGATTTACAGATAATTATATTCTATATCAGATTACTCTGCGACACATGTATGTCTTATGGTAGTAGTTTTCAACACTCGATCATGTACAAATTATGTTTAATAATGTATACGAGGAAATATTGAACTATCGTGAGGCATGTGTAAACTTGTTTGTTGAGTTCTCGGTTAAACCAGTAAGAGTGAACTCAGGATTGTCAAAGGTTATTTAGAAATGTGTGGTTGGTATGGTAATATTTATTGTACTGAGGACTTCATACATCTGTGATATGAAGGTCGATGCGGTACTGTGTAAACCTGCCTTCCATTCCCCTCCTACATTATAATAGTAAATCTAAACGATTAAATAAGGTCAACGTTACATCCCCACATCTCATCTATCAATGGTTGTAAGGTTACATCTATCAATGGTTGTAAGGTTACATCTATCAATGGTTGTAAGGTATCAATGGTTGTAAGGTTACATCTATCAATGGTTCGAAGGTTACATCTATCAATGGTTAGATGGTTACATCTATCAATGGTTGTAGGGTTACATCTATCAATGGTTGTCAGGTTACATCTATCAATGGTTGGAAGTTTACATCTATCAATGGTTGTAAAGTTACCTCTATCAATGGTTGTAAGGTTCCATCTATCAATGGTTGTAAGGGTACATCTATCAATGGTTGTAAGGTTACATCTATCAATGGTTGTAAAGTTACATCTATCAATGGTTGTAAGGTTACATCTGTCAGTGGTTGGAAGGTTACATCTATCAATGGTTGGAAGGTTACATCTATCAATGATTGTAAGGTTACATCTATCAATGGTTGTAAGGTTACATTTATCAATGGTTAGAAGGTTACATCTATCAATGGTTGGAAGGTAACATCTATCAATGGTTAGAAGGTTACATCTATCAATGATTAGAAGGTTACATCTATCAATGGTTGGAAGGTTACATCTGTCAATGGTTGGAAGGTTACATCTATCAATGGTTGTAAGGTTACATCTATCAATGGTTCGAAGGTTACATCTTTCAATGGTTGTAAGGTTACATCTATCAATGGTTGCAAGGTTACATCTAGCAATGGTTGGAAGGTTACATCTAGCAATGGTTGGAAGGTTACATCTAGCAATGGTTGGAAGGTTACATCTATCAATGGTTGTAGGGTTACATCTATCAATGGTTGTAGGGTTACATCTATCAATGGTTGGAATGTTACATCTATCAATGGTTGGAAGTTTACATCTATCAATGGTTGGAAGGTTCCATCTGTCAATGGTTGGAAGGTTACATCTGTCAATGGTTGGAAGGGTACATCTATCAATGGTTGGAAGGTTCCATCTGTCAATGGTTGGAAGGTTACATCTATCAATGGTTGTAAGGTTACATCTATCAATGGTTGGAAGGTTACATCTGTCAATGGTTGGAAGGTTACATTGATAACAATTTGTAAATGATCTGCTGATTATAGGTTTTGCTCAAGTATACATATTTTCATCTTCAGAGTGTTCTTTTCCTTTTCCTTGAATTATGCATAATACTGAATTATAATCCCACACGTCATATCACGTTAGTCCTTACCTTACAAGGACAACAAACACAACAATAATAACAATATTCAATAAATGCATGCGAGTATCCTTTTGTATAATCGCCTGTAGCGTTAAACATAATTTTATACTGTATAGAACTTGTTTCATAGAGGTCAACCTTTTGTATGTTTCCGTTTTAGGCCCAGATGATCAGAGCTAAACAAGCCGTTGTTGAAAACTTTCAAAGTTCATTTATTTTTGGAAATAGCTGAAAATATTTGTGTATTTCTAGTCTTCATTCAGATGACCATTTTGCTTGAATTTCATTTTTTTTTTTAATATTCTGTATTGAAATGTAAACCTGTTGTTTGGCTAAACAGGCTGTTACCTGCTGCACCGAGATGAGAATAGTCCCAGGAACGCTTTATAACTATTGGTATTAAAGCTATATACATGTGTAGTATATGTACCATATATGTGTAGGGTGGTACCTTATCTTTATAGTGTAATGAATCGGTGATCTACTCAACTATTACCAAGGGTACATGAACGTATATATATGCCACATCATCAGAACTTGTCCTACATATATGATGCAGTCGATTACTTCCATGCACTGTTCATATCTAGTGTAGGTTTGTGTAAGTTAATTGATGGTTGAATTGTAGGACGGCAATTAGACTGATATAGCTTATCTAAGAGGACTCTACAACACAAATGTTACAAGAATACCAATAATTAATCTCAATTATTAATGTCAGAGGTTGTTTCCTAGACCAATCTGATATTTCTAGATCTCTTCACCTCTCCACAAATATCTACATGTCCGTTTCCCAGACTGGTATCTATTGTTTGTTCAAGTTGTTGGATACTCTGATAGCAGTATATAGTGTTGGTTGTATACTCTAATAGCAGTATATAGTGTTGGTTAGATACTCTGATAGCAGTATATAGTGTTGGTTGGATACTCTAATAGCAGTATATAGTGTTGGTTAGATACTCTGATAGCAGTATATAGTGTTGGTTGGATACTCTGATAGCAGTATATATTGTTGGTTGTTTATTATCGAGTTTAATTTTCTCATCATGGAATCTCATTTGTTACCTTTGACATATGATGTAGTGTATTCATGTTGAAATCACAAATGTCCTTAAGGTTGATTAGGTATTGGTAATGATATATGGTATAACAATCACTTTGTGTAAATTATTTTTTAATGATTAAATATATTTTACATCCTTCAGTATTGTAGAAGGATTTTTCTAGTATCTGACCGAACACATGTCCTGTATCATCAACTTATATTACTGAGTCATACATAATGAAACCAGGGTCTTAAATTTTTAGGTAGCTTTGATCTTATCCTAAGTGGTGTTGATGAGAAAAGGAAGTGTGGGTTTTACAATACAGCAAGTAGATAGGTGCTATTCACAATACTAACAGGAAATCCTGTTTTAAAAAACAAACTATTTTTCCCTTTGCTCACTGTTATGTAACTGTGTATTTGATGTTACAATAGTTGTATGGTTCTGATGTCGGTCTGGTAGTTTACTTACATGTTGGTTTCCCCGTTACATTTTGTCCTACCCTACTAGATCCTAGTGATTCTGTACCTGACTGATGTAGTGATGAGAAGATGAATGGATGTTTGTTAATGTTATCATCATTTTTTCATATGATATTCATAAATTGTTAAATATCTAACGAAGTCTTTCATGATATCAAGATGTCAGTAACAGATTCTGTTTTCTCGAGTTCATTTTGGATCAAAGATGCTTGCAATATAAAGCAACCTATTTTGCTGTTGTAATGAAAGGTTTTATACTGTAGGCAGTAATGTGTTCTGATTTACTATGATAGTTGTCATATCAAATGCCATCAATATTGTGAAGTTTCAATAAATGTTGGCAACATAAAAGGTTGATTCACAATTGTATTGACCTAGTTTACTTTAAATCAATATGTAATGGTAAATTTACGTATATTAACATGTTAGTATAAACAGCCTGTACTGTACAATTTGCCGTACATCATTGCTCGTATTCGTATACGACACACCTTGTACATCATATGTACAGTGCAGTTAAAAAGATGATACATATTACCTCACTCACAGTGATTCAATTCACCGTCATATTTGACCATGATATACCCCGGTATGCTTGCCAACTGATTATTTTTTTTACATTATTTCTGTTTCCCTCTTCATTTTTGATATGTGTATATTTATATACAAATTTAGATTATATTTTAAGACAAAACACCAATTCGGTAGCCATCACTAATGTGTGTAAGTGTTACTACTTTTAGTATAAAATTGCCATCTTTTGAAAGATACAATTCATAATTGTTTACCAGATGAATGTAATCAATTTAACCATCTAAGACATTTCATGTTGACAAAATATCACGGCCAGGAAGGAAGTTGTCTAGTGGTATTGTAATGTATGACATCTACTGGAGAGGATCGAGAGCTGTGTAGTTGTCATTCTGTAAGGGAACCCCAAACTTAAATGATGTCATTCTGTAAGGGAACCCCAAACTTAAATGATGTCATTTTGTAAGGGAACCCCAAACTTAAATGATGTCATTCTGTAAGGGAACCCCAAACTTAAATGATGTCATT